AAATAGTCCTTTAAGGAAGTATGTGCCCTGTTCTTTAGGACTCTCTCCTTGAAAAAACAATAAAAAAGTGCCTTATTTTAAAAAACGTATTGCGGCTTCATTCATCTTTTATATATACTCAGTGTCGACTGGTAAAACACAACCTTATGAGTTGTGCACACCTTCAGGCTGCACGTTTGAATGTGATAAATGGACAGTTAGTGTCTTCTTTCAAGGCTGCTACTGGCAGCTTAGATTCCCAAATTTGCTGTTGCAATTAATCAGTGTGATTAATTGTTATCGCAAACGCGAGCTTATTAATGCAAATGTGGCTATTATACACTGGAGAGCTTGTGTCTGTATAAAGAGGTTGCGGTGTTTGCATATTTGTGTTTGCTTGTGCTTGTTTTTCTAAGTGTGGGTTTGTAAAGGGATGATGCCGTCCAGATGTTCAAATCTCTGGATGGAAGTCGATTCTCATCATCATTTTCCACAGCAAACAGCAATTTATTCCGAGCCCTTGTGTTCACACGTTCGGCCTCTTCAGTCAGTCAGTGCTTCACCGCTCACTTCTCAGGGATGTTGTTTATGTACAGTTCTATTATGTCGAAGGAGATTAGTTTCTTGGTCTGTGCACACTAATCCCTCTCTCTTTTCTAGGAGCCGGGCCAGTGTTTAGCGAAGGCTCCTTTCTGTGCGAGCCAGCCCAGCCTCTCTCTCTTTCAGCCTGTCACAGTCTCTCTCTACACACACAAAATACCATGGCCCTCAAGTGTGAAAACCTCAAAACAATAGGGCCTCCAGCCTCCTTTGAGGCATGTTGCAAGATGTCCAAGTCTCAGAGGACATAAAAGAAATGGGGAAAAAAAATGCAACAACTAAATAATAGGCCGGTCGTTAGTACCAAAGCTTTGTCTCTGATGGTAAAAGGCCAACGAGGGCTCATACACTTTGCATGACATTGCATCTTTATTGTAAAAATCAGGCAGGGAAAATTTGGGAAATATTGCTTTCAAATGTAAACGCGCAATTATATTTATTTGCCTCTGTGGATAATCCCGCGGAGTTAAATATTTGCCCATCTTCTGGTTGACATTAGGGACTTTTTTTTAAATAGGATTGAGAATATCACAGTGAGTCCTTTCAGACGAGCACAAAGATAGGCTGTTTCTCCCACACATTTCCTCTGACCTCTCGGCACCCGTTCTGCAGATTAACATTGCAATGAGCCATGCATCGCTATTTATCGATCTAAGCAGCTTTTATGGGTCATTCCACGATACTTGACAGAGCGACTGTAACACTACTCCCTAAAGGATGGATGGAATTTAGTTTTAGATGATAGGTACAATCCTAGCGTGACTTTGAAGTATGAGGCAAAAAAAATAAAATTGATGGACTTCACTTTCCCTTTTGAGATCACACCGATCGTAACCTGAACAATTTGAAAGCTCCAAATTTCGCTCTCATGCGAGTTTCGGGTCAGTGAGATCATCGAGCAGAGACAAGCGCTCCCTCCAGATTACTTCCACCTGGACTTTTGTGCTGCTACTCCATCAATATGATGAGATGGAATATATTGTCTGTGAGACTGATGAAAAATAACCAGAGTGTTTTCCCCCTCTATTAGGAAAAGCAATGTTGCTTTAATGCTGTGGTATGGTGAGAAATCTGACCTTGCCCTGGGCAGTGGCATGTTTCTGGTTAGGCTCTGGTGAGTGGGACCAGGCAGGGGACACATGAAAGGATCTCTCTGTCAGGCCGCAAAGATGTTCAGTCTGAGTCTAATGAAGACCAGAACACATATCCAGATCGGAGAACATGCATGCCACACACTATACAAACACCAGGGCTACAACACTGTTGACAGCCACGGTCTTCTTTCCCTGTTCTCTAAAGGTGGACAAAGTGAAAAGCATGTCTGTTCTGTGATTAAAAGGCAGCAGGACACTGAAGCAAAACTGCCACATCCAAAGACAGACAGACAATATTTTTCTCTCTCCCTTTTTTTCTTTTCCTCTGCGGCTCTACAGGGAACTTGATTTCCTGGATTCAGTGCCTGGAAAATGCTTCTTCACAGTATATTTTGGATTCAATTTGTTGAGCTGGGGTTGTACAAAGGTGCAGAACTGTTTTTATTGTGAGGTACTTCTGTGCTATCAGTTGTGAAACAATGCAAAAGCTCTCCAATAGCCTCAACAGTGTAATGTTCATATTTGTCGACACTTTGGCAGAAAGATGTTGATTTAGGGTCATTTGGTGGTATTTGCAGCAGAGATACAGTATGTTGGACTGCTAGAAAAAGATTTGTGAACAGATTAAATGACATCACTATCACTGACCTGTTATTTTAATTATGGTAGTAACTACATAATTTAATGTATTCTTCTGGAGGTAGTAAAAGTGATCCACAACAATTTAAGTATAACCCCCGCACACTCTTTCTTAACCCTGATACATTTACTAAATCACAATATGTCCACATACATGTAAGTGTGGACATTGTGACACATACACACACACAGAGACACTACATGTTACAAATACTACTGCACAATATGAGATAGATATACTGAAACAAAAATTATACAACGTTTTTATAAGATGTTATAGGTGCATAAATGTTACATGTTGGTCATTTTAGCCCGTTGCTAGGAGGTTGCTAGGCAACATGATGACGTAATATATGATAAAGACAGCAGCCATCAGGGGCCATCAAAGTATAGCAGTACATCACAATGTATTTTACAATCTGATTATACTACTGATTGAGGTAACACAAGACTACAATATAGAGATATTAAAATATGAAATAAAAATCTGAAGTGTGAACCGATGATCCTGACAATAAATTAACACGCCGCATAAATCACATGTCTATCATCTCTATCATCTGTGGGCATAAAATTATGGACACTCAAAAAATCTGGTTCTTTGCAGTTTGGGTCAAAGGTAAGCGAGAGGTCCGATATGTTTGTGTTTACAAAGAAAACCAGAAGAATCGTTATCTAGATGCTTATTTCCAAACCAAACATCATTCTCTGCAGGCGTACAAAGTGAAGAGATCAAGCAAGAGTATCATCCATCTGGGTAAGAGCTGTTTAAAATCCCCCCTGATTAGTGCTAATCCCCTTGATGCGCCTTCCTGAGAATAAACACATACTGACCCAAGTGACCCATTCCTAATTAATGAAGTTAGGAAGTTTGCTATGCAATCATCAATACACTGTGGCCAATCCTGCGCTAAGGGAGCTCGCACTAAAGCTAACTTTGCTATATGATGATATATTTAAAGGTAATAACTCAAATTACAACAGCTGACATTTTAAATTGGGATCAATGGCTGGTGTCAGCTTTTCACCATATAATACACCCCCAGGCATGACTAGCAAAGAGGGGAAACTTTCTGTCTTGTCTTCTTTTCTCCTATGAAGCCTTTGTGTAGGGTCGCCTCAGAGGCGAAGCGCAGTTCACAGGTCAGCCGTACCCAGGAGGATGGACGGCAGTGTGAGGGCAGGACCCAGGCTCGAGGACAAGGAAAGGGTCAGGGGTTGAGTTCAGAGGGAATCCACACAGAGGATGTTGAAACAGATATTGTTGGGGGGCAGAGCTTCCTCCACTTTTCCCACTGGGTTGCCACAAAGACAAGGCGGGCACAGAGAGACACACATACAAACGATCCAAAGGTGTTAATGATAGAGCACATGTGCTCTTCAAAGTGCGTTACAGTAAAAGAAGAAATTATGACAGACATCACTTGTAGTCTAAACACGGCGCTTCAGTGCCTCTGTGTCTTCAATGTCTCAAAATAAACTCGGGTGACAGAACAAAAGAGCAGTGAAAATATGTTTTGAGGGGGTGGTTCACACATTAAAATCAACACATTTCATTTGCCTCTTTTTAGAAAAAATAAAACCAAAATATTGAAAAGCTAAGTAAAATGTAAAGAAAAGGTGAATGAAATGAAAATAACGCAAAGACAATATATAAACTGTTGAAACAGGTATTTATAAATCTATTTACTTCTTTCTTAAGGTCATGATTTTTAGTTTAAGTGTTAAGTTTTTAATGAAACGCATTTCAAAATAGCAAAAAAAGACACAAAACAAAAACCTGGTGGAACATCTCACAGCTAATACGGTTAATTAGCAAAACAACCTGATATATATATAAAAAAAGAGTCCCAGGGAGCAAGAGGTTTTCAGAAGCAAAGATGAGGTCCAAGCCTATTAAAAGTAATGATTGCCAATGGAAAAGTGAAGATTTCTCGTTTGAGGTGCACGGTATGGTTAAAAGATTCCGAGAATCAAGAATTCCCTAAGTGCAAGAAACAAATCTGAACAGCAAGTCTTTAAACCCGCAGATGGTGCTTTAGTATAAAAAGAAACCCAGTTCTATCACTGTAAATCATTACATGACCTCAGAAACACATCTGTCATGTGAACATCATTTTCACCACATCCACAAATGGAAGTCAGAACCTTTCTATGCAAAAAATATCCTCTGTTTGTTCTTTCTTTCTTTCTTTCTTTCTTTCTTTCTTTCTTTCTTTCTTTCTTTCTTTCTTTCTTTCTTTTTCTTTAAGAAATCATGGACACCATGTTTTTAAAGCAAATGACAAAAGACACCACCCAGGTTTTTATCAGCACACATTTCAAAAGCTAGAATTTGTGATGGTACGGGGTGCATTAGTGAACACAGCATGAGTAACTTGCACATCTGTGAACCACCATTGATACAGGTTAGGAGCAACATATGCCAAGCAGACATCTTCTTCAAGGAAAGCTGCATTTATTCCAGCTAAGGAAATATTTCTTCTTCGAAAATCTCATTCAATATACATCAAGATAGATTCACTGGCCACTTGATTAGGGACACCTGTTCAACTGCTTGTTAATGCAACTATCTAATCAGCCAGTCGCATGCCAGCAATTCCATCAATGTTGGCATGTAGACATGGTCAAGATGACCTGCTGAAGTTCAAAGCAAATATCAGAATGGGGAAGAAAGGTGATTTAAGGGACTTTGAACATGTTATGGTTGTTGGTGCCAGATGGGCTTACTGGAGTATTTCAGAAACTGCTGATCTGGTGGGATTTTCTCACAAAACCATCTTTAGGGTTTACAGAAAATGTCCAGTAAGCTGCAGGTGAAAAGACCTTGTTGGTAACAGAGGTCAAAGAAGAATGTCCAGACTGCTTTGAGTGTATAGAAAGGCAACAGTAAGTCAAATAACCACTCATTGAAAGCAAGGTACACAGAAAAGCATCTCTGAATGCACAATGTGTCTAACATTGAGGCCGATGGGCTTCAGCGCCTGAAGACCACACCAGGTGCCACCCCTGTTAGCTGAGAACAGTACATTATCTCTAGAATTTGCACAGGCTTACCAACATTGGACATGGAAGACAGGAAAGTTTACAGCACCTTGCTGATGCCACAAGGAGTTAGCAGCTATCAGTGGCCAACTCTTTGTGATAGTAGCACTGACATATTTGTCACCAATTCTATTAATTTTTTCTCCCCTGATTAAGTCATAAAAGCAGCATGAGACTGAAAAGGGAGCATGAAACAGATTTTAATAGAACAAATTATATCTGCAGTGACTGGTCATAGAAGCAAAAGCTTTTAAACCTCTGAGAACAGCATATTAATTAGCACCTGGAAATTTATTTATTTATTTAGTTATTTTATTTCATTTTTATTGTCTATGAAGATGTCGGTGTCAGTACACCGGGAAAAAACCTTGCACATGGCTCAGCAAACCAGATTGTTTACATAATGAATGTGCAGTATTTCATCCTGTGCGTGTGCTCCAAGGCTAAGCGCTCATTTCCACCCTTGATGATCACAGGCACCATTGATTGTAATGCTGACGAGCAGGCTAATACTGCCCGTGGCGTACAAAGGAATCTGGACATGTTTAAAGTTCTAACTTTCATGTTTTTTCATGCTGGTATGAAGGAGAATGCTGATGTTGGGGGCAGCTGGCTCTCATTAAGAAAACATGATGTCAAACAGAGGGGCTCGCTGGTGAAAGTCAAACGCTCTTCTGCTCCATCGTCGTTGTCATCTTTTGGCATATCCCAAAGACAGACAGACAGACAGATACTCCACCTGGTGAACTTAACACGTCAACACTGGTCAGTAAACTTTTACATACAGACCAGAAAAAAAAGAATAAGGCTGTTAAAAATTTACAGTCTAAAGTATAAAGCTAAAAGTCAGCATGTCTCAATATACAAAATAGTAATTCATGTTCTCCTCAACCTAATAGGTCATGTATTTTTAATTTTGTAATTTTCTTTCACTCTTTATGAGACATTTATAAAACATGCTTGACTAATTGCTTCATAAACATTTTAATACTTATTGAATAAACAATAAACACGTTTCAGCATAGAATCTTTTATCAAAGGTCTCTTAAGTTTTATAGTCCTTTTAGCAAAAGGCCTACTTTATTTTAATCTCTTTACTTATAATAGACCATAGTGTTGTGGTTTGCACAGTTGCCTAGCAGGCAAAAGATCACCAGTTTGTCTCTGGAAGGAGACTCAAATCCCTGTGGGGGTTGTGTCAGGAAGGGCATCCGGCATAAAAACCTCCCAGTTTAAACATACTGAGCTACCTGCTGTGGCAACCTACTGTGTATAAGGGAGCAGCTTAAATGTAATAGAAATTTTTTGTTGATTAGATAAAACATTTTTTATTAGTTGCTTACCCTCTCTTAATCCATAAACTCTACATGTGTAATTGTTTACAAGTCATGTCACTAAACTTTCCAATAAACTATCAAGTTTGCCCAAACATTGGCCTTATTTTCCCTAAACAAGTGAAGATATGAATGATGAATTACACTGTTAGCTAAAACTTGTGAAACCTTCATAAACTCATTAACAAGGCATGCAAGCAACACCCAGCGCTTTCATTTCTTCAGTTTACAACCCCAGTTAAGACTGACCATTTCCTGCACCTCAGCAAGCTTTGGAGGCACAGGCCGGTCTTGTTTGCCTCAGAGGGCGAGGACAGTGGTGAGCAGCTCAGGCTGATATATCTACAAAAGCTTCATTGTCATAGCAAAGAAGCCTTTGTTGGTGACTTCGATGGAAATATCTGGCACAGACTGTCTTCAACCTGCGCTGGGCGGATCTGGAATATTGCTGACGTCCTGGTCGTAAATCCCTTGTCTAAATGCACCATTACACGTGTGCTTTTTCAAGCCTGTTTGCAACATAAACAGTTCCGTTTGTGCTGAGGTGTTGAGTGGAGCCAAGATTTAGGTGAGCTGAGGGAGTTCTGTGATTCACTGTCAGGACGCTGTGCCTGCGCAGCCTGCAACACGTTTATGACGCTCAAGAGGGGCAAAAAAACATATGGTGTACATGTTAGGAAGGTTTTCACCGCATAGCTTAACAAGAGATGATCTCTCTTTTTCCACGCTTTGATGGTAAGTGCCTGTTAACCACGTCCCACCTTTGGGATAAATGACATTATCAGCTACTTAGCTGATACTTTTTGGGACGATCTGCTTTTCATCGCTTATAACGAAACCCTACGGCATGTTTTCCAAGCTCACTTTACTCCAGGACTCTTATATTAATGTGTTATTTTAGAGCTCGATTTTTTTGATTCCATATTATCCTACTCAACATAACTCAAGCCGAATCATCTGGCGAAACACCTCAAAGATACGACTCTTGCAAAACCACATGGATCGTCCCTGGAGTTTGACCCGCAGTTCACACATGAACACGCTGCGGTTGTCATTCATGCGTGCTAAAGAAAACAAACATGTTCCTTCTTTCAATTCATAAATAATTTACTGCTCCATATAATTTGTGCCATGTTTACCATCACTCCCTCCTCTCACATCTGGGATTGGATGATATTGCCAAAGATCTCGCTGAGCACAGTTCGTCTCTGCGCTCATCTCTTCTCATACTCTTAGCCCTTAAAAGCAAAGCTCCAAAGACAATGAAATATTGTGCAGATCTGATTGGAAACAGCCTCCATAATGTGAGTTTAGCAATCTCCTTATGTCATTCCACTTTTCAAATAGACCGTTTGAAACATCACAGTAATTTGATTAAAATGGATTGACAGCCTGGTGAGTTACTGTCAGTGAGCCAGTGGGAAAAGAGTGTTTCTGATTTCTCCTGAGGAGAATCCTTCACCTCCCCAGAAGTTCTTTTAATATAAGGGCAGTGCCTTTCATCTGCTCCTCGGAGCGAGGCTCTTAATGCGTTGCAGATTCTTTTCAACTCTGACAATCTTTTACCATCATCTTTTTAGTGGGTTTCTGCATAACATTTCAATTAATATCACATGAAAGTGAAAATATTACCCTGCAACGAAGTCAGTGTAATGTCTGATAATGAATACGCTCATTCCCATTCGTGGGAAAATAACCAGTGAAGAAACTGCAGAATTTCAAAGCAAAGTGTAGCCGATTATACTGTAAATGTATTTACTTACTTTGCAAAACATCAGAAGCTCTTCAGTATTTGCCTTCTTGCTTAGAAGAAACCGACTGAAAGCCTGGAAATAGTAAGAAACAATAAGAAAAGATATGATGATTAATGAGCTTAGCATTGATATATTAGCTCTGTTGCTAGCTACCTTGGCTAGCTTTTAACCTCGCTATCACTTTTTATGCTATGTTAGGATTAATATCTCCTTTCTTTTGCTTTACATATAGTTGCATTGATCCTTCTATTTAGCTCTTGACAACAAAGCGGGCAGGTGTATTCCCAAGATGTTTAACTATGGCTTTGATCAGTGTTTAGTGCAATGTTCCTCTGGTCATTGGTCCCACTGCTGTGTTGGCAAAGTCTGGCGTTCTCATTCCTATAAAACCAAAACAGCCATTTGTTACAGGATACAACGCTGTGATCTTTGATTAACCCAATTAGCATGAATAAAGATGAGGAAGTAATAATTTCTAAAGATAATACACAACGTAAACATGATGTTAACCAAGCACTGCCGTGGTTGCTGTAAAAATCCCAGTCCTCTGGCCTCTCGCTGCACGATCTGTCTTTCATAGACGACCGGCGCTGACTGCCAAGAACAGCACTCTGGCTGATGTGCCTGGCTCTTGTTAACAGAGGATAGGTTTGTGTCAAGCACAGCTTCTCAGCAGGCAGAGCCAGTTGTTGTTGTGGTTAAAAAAGATTGTGGGAGCATTGTGCAATCGCTCACTGACAGAGATGTCGGGCCGCTATAAATGACACACCTCCGACCAACTGATCCTCTGCCAGCGTGACTCATCTTTTTCTCATGGTGGAGGCCTGACAGAATGCCTTTGAACAGGTGTCCAAAGCTGTTGTTTTCCTTTCTCATCACTATCATCATCATTTTTTTTTACATTGTTATTTGTGTATCTGATTTCATCTCCTTTCTCTGTATCCACACACACCCACGCACGAAAACAGTTTCAATTGAACTTTTCGAATAAAAAAGAAACACTGCTAGCCCTCAGTATTTATCATGGCTGAAATGTGCTTGGAGACAAAGTGCCTTTGAATTTGAGCCTATTCAACATACTTCATGAAAAAATATTGAATTAGATGTTTCATACCGCCTACAGTTTTTTTTTCGCAAGACAACGGGGGTTATATTTCCTTATTGGGATTATTCCTCTGTATTCTGATCCTTATTCAATGGACTTAAACTTTCTTCCAAGCTCAGTGTCACTGAATAACTATCCAGCAACTTTTCACTCTTGAAAGTCTGCCAGCCATTGAGGGGCTGTTTTTAATTGACTGATCGTCCACATGGTTGGAATATTCACGGGCATTGCCACGGGCAAAATTTCTTCTCATCAGAAGCTGCTGGTTGAGCATCTCAGATCTGAAGCCAGTAATTGAATAGATGAGGTTTTGATTGATGCTTAGAGGAAGTCCCTTTCCTATTTAAATATTCATGGCTTTGTAGCCTAAGGGTGAGACGGGAATCCAAAGCAAACCTGTGCACAACAATAGCAGCTCAGAGTTCCTTCTGTCTGCTTCTCATTACAGTAAACACACTTTAGAGCTACCATCCCTCTCCACATTCCTGCTCTCCGCTCCAGTGGGCTCCACCTAACAGAAGGTATTTGGCCTCTGAAGGCAAATCTAAATGTGCAGGATAAATTTTTTTTTTTTAAAAGACAAATTACCCATCATCTTATTATTTCACCACATAAATATCCCCAGAAAAACATGTATCATTCAATTTACTGAATTTCACAAGACACAATGCTTTGGTTTTTTTTTCTAGCAGAGCTTAGATTAAAAGTGACCATAATGCTGCAACGGCTGAAACATGCAATTCATGTTAAAGGTGTTTCCTTTGGCGCCATGTCTCTACTGCTAATGCACTCTTGGTCTCTGATTCCCAGTCAAGTCAATCAGATCATGCATGTTCCCTCCACAGCACAAACTGCCATGGACTCCCTGCGCCAAAAATATCTCTTACCATGAACCATCCGCACACAAAAAAAAGCCGCATTATTCATGATTCAATCTGTGGTTTGGAACAAATCTCCACTATTATAACACAGGAGGAATAGCTTTAACAAATTGTAACAACCTGTATTAGCATTTGATGGCATCCAAAAGATACATATTTTTCTTCTTGCCTGTGGTGCTATTTATACATCTACGGATGAATGTGGTGTGAGTTTCTCAGTTATTAAGCTGTGGAAGATTTGATCAAGATTTACATGCATAAACCAGCAAAAGAAAACAACCAAACAAATAAAAGTAATCCACAAACCTTGTTGCTGGTGGTTTAATGTAGGCTATCAAACTACACCAGCCAACCATAGCACAGTGCAGAAGGAAGCACATATACCCATGACAAGACGCCTGTGCTAATGACAGCGTGACAGGATGTAACATTTAATGGTATCCCCCTGAGGTTAGATGTCATTTTAGCGCCACACTTTCTTTTCTTGGTGGGTGTACATTACTGTGCAAGTCTTGAGCCACCCCGAATTTCTTTATATTTTGCTTCTAAAAATGCCATAGATTACACAGTTTGAGCAGGATAGTACTTTTGCACCAGTATCATGAGTCCCAAAGAGCTATTAGCTAAAAACTTTGCATATCTCAACATGTTGTGCAATGTGTCCTCAAAAAATCAGAGGAAGCTAAACAAGAAAATTTGTATTCCTAAAAATAAAACATCTATATCAAAGTAGTCATACAGGACCTGGACTATTTAAGTTCTTCAGCCCATCCATCTACTGTTTGCTGAGGACTCATTAGACATGATCTCAGTAGAGGGGATGCTGAGGTATGCCAAATTACACAAGAACTGGACAGAAAATCAGTCACAACAGTTCTTTTGGAGGGGGGATGTTTGGAGGTCAGGAAAGAGGTACAACATTGAGTGCTTACATTCATGGTTTGGAACTGGATTTCAACCAGAGTTGGGGACCTTGTCAAAATTAATGTTATTATGAACACAGAGAAGTAGGATCACATTTTGATCCACCCTGCAATACCACCTGGAAAGGGTCTCATTGGCAATAACTTCATTTTTCAGCATGACAATGATCCCAAACACACTTCAAATGCAGGAAAAGCATACCTGGATCAAAAAACACACAATATAACACTATCAGAGCCTGGACCAAACACTATTATTATTATTATTGTTGAAGTAGTGTGGGGTCAAGGCAGCCAGCATTCAAAGTAAAGCTTTGAAATGCCCTTCAAAGACCCGAGAGAACTATTTCTGAAGGCTATTTAAAGAAATGACAAGAAAGCTTACCTAAGAGAGATCGGGCTGTGTTGAAGAATAAAGCTGGTCATACCAAATATTGACTTTCAAGCTCTTTAGAATTGTGCAAACTTTTGCCTTAAATACCGTATTTCCATGTATGTTTGGCCACATTTCAGTGAAACACTGCACTTGCTTCCCATTTTCTAGCAAAATATTTTTTTTAAATGAGGGGTTGCTCAAGACTTTTACACAACACTGTATTTTTAGAACTTACACCAGACAAAAATAAAAACTGGAATTTGCGAGCTGTCTCCTAAGCATACTTGTGTAATCTAATTTCAAACTGAAACAGATAAAATAATGTTCAAAAGAAATCAGATATATTATTATTCAGCAGGTGTCCTGCAAAATATTGGTGTTAAAACGGATAACGATCAAACACTGTTTATCATTTCATCCCAAGCAATCTCAGAAAAACATTATCAGAGGTAAAATTACAAATTTCAGTATCACAGCACTCAAACCATTAACCAACCATCCTCAAAATATGAGCTGCCAACAAATCAAGACTGTCTTTCCAAGAAAACATCTCCTGACCTAAAAAAAAAAGATGCCTTATTAGTCCAGTAAAATCCCAGCACATTGTCACGTGCAGAATACTGGGTGTCTTGCATATTTTAATCGCTCGTATTAAATTGGGTCTATGACTGTCAGCTTGCAGCGATATAAAAATACACCACAGTCTAGCGAGATTCTGAAAAGTAGAAGGAAAAAAAAATAAAAGTCAGTTGGAAATAAATCCACCGATTTATAAGCCAACAAACACAGACACAATCTGGGTTGGAGTGAAAGAAGCCCTCGTTGGGAAAACAAGGGGCCATGAATTGTCTGCAGAAGTGTTTTCTGCATGGAATATCTCTTTTCTTTTCACAAACACATTTTCATTCGAGGATTTAATTAAGTGGGTTCGTTTGAGGAGTACTGGGACGCAGCAGAATAATAAAAGCTCTGTCGTACGGCCAAGAGTCAAACAGCGTGCTGCTAAATAAACTTCTCACATTTCTGTCATCTAACTTTTCCTTTTTTCGCCATTATGTATAGTTTGTCTGCAGATTTTAACTGATGACTTCTGTAGATATTTTATTTTTTAATGGTCTTTTTTTCTCTCACTGTGCCTGTGCCTTAGCCTAGCATGACAAGTAAGATCAGTGAAAAATGTCACTTGACTACCAGCTGCAGCTTTGAAGTTAGAGACAAAGTGATATGAAACATAATATCCCCAGGGTCCCATTTAGTATTTGGCACAATAAACATTTGCCAAGTCCAATTGTGTGTGACTGATTCTGCTCATATAGGTCTGGCAAAAGAGTCAGTAGTATTATAATTAAAATGACAGGTATTCAGGGAGATGAGTAGGTCTTTGAGGAGTAGGGATGATTTCATTATTCAGTCTCACTGACTCCAGAGAGCACAGATTGCATTGCACACACCACAGAGACTATATTACAGTAAAGCAAGTCATGCTGTCGAACAAAATAAAATAAAGAGACATAATGAATTGGACTTCTTTTACATTTTTTTGCCTCCTGTTTATGAAATCATTCTATTATTTTCACAACATATTTCCTCCTTTTCCCCCCAGAAAATAATCACCACAAGGTCTTTTTTGGAACTGTTCTGGAGATGTAAATCATACAAGATCTTCATCAGCAGAGTTGTCGTGGAATTGCAGCTGTGCAAATTCTCGTTTTCCCCACTAGAATACAATTTAAATCAGAGGTATGCGCATGGAGGAAAAAATGCATCATAAAACATAATACATTTTA